GAGAGAGAGAGAGAGAGAGAGAGAGAGAGAGAGAGAGAGAGAGAGAGAGAGAGAGAGAGAGAGAGAGAGAGACAACATAGGGCTAGGGCTAATAGCTCCCCGGTAGGTTTTCTTTTATTTTGGATGTTCTCCTTAGTTTTGTTTGGTTTCCAATTCTAGTGTAGTGAGCACTTAGGTAGGAATATAGATATATAGATAGGAATATAGATATATAGATATATAGATAGCTACATTGATATACATATATATATACATATATAGAGTGTGTGAGAGAGAGAGAGATATTGGCTGATTTTGCTTTACCGTTGGTATTTCTGAGTTTAGGGTTTGTGGTGACAGCGGGGTCAAATCTAGTGGTGTCCTCTATGTGTTTGGCCGGTGATGCCTCGCCCACTGAGGGCCCCACATAATTTTGTAAGGGACGCCGGGCCCGGTTCCCGGCTTTTATGAAGACATTGTTCATTGTAAAAAAAAAAAAAAAAAAAAGTACTCTCAAAGGAACACATGGAAAACATGGCAGCCATATAAAAACTGTGACATATTGTGACGCGGTATTGTGACGCGGTATTGTGACGCTCCTTCCCTGAGCTCGAAATGTGTCTTGGTCCCTGGTTGGTGGGCGTCTGGAGTGTTACGCTGCGGTCTCTTGTAATTCAAGCCTGAGGGTCGTGCGGATTGAAACCTGAGTATCCTGAGTGAGTCCTGGCTTTTCCTCCCCTTGGAACCCAAATATCCCCTGCCGTTTTCTTTTTGGGATCCAAGGACCTGGTGTAAATGGCCCTGCCTCGCAGTGCTCCTCTGGGAGGCCGGGTCAATCTCTTCTATCAGCTACAAGAAGTGCAGTGGATGCTCATGGCAGGCCCCCAACATTTTTTATTATGCCTGCGGCTGTGCGGTTAACCCCCCGACTCCACCGGGGTAGGCAATGCTGGCAGCCAAGATCTCAGATTTTTCACCTATACCACTTAACTTCTCAAATTGGTTTAATGGGACGCTGGACCCGTTTTCCAGAAGGTGAGGCTCACTTAGTCTACCAATAGAATGGAGCATCCGGAACGCGCACTAGGCTCACTACCAATAGAATGGAGCATCCAGAACACACACTAGGTGAGGTTTGTCTACTATGGTAGGGAGCACGCGTGTTGGGGAAACTAGGCGGGAGATCCAGCGGCCTAGCTCAGTTGGTAAGGCATGCAAGTGTTATTCAGGAGGTCTTGGGTTCCATCCCAATTGGCCTCATATACCTTCCTGGGCAAGCTTGGCACCCACCACCTAGAGATAGGTCGTTGGTCCCCCCTGAGTGGCATTGAGCAGATACTGCTGATGTTCATAGGGGGAGGGGACCGGAGGGGAGGCACAGCGACTGGCCCATCGAAGAAGCTCGGTCTTGATGCTACCGGCTCACTCCTGGCTGGTATCGCCCACCTGCTGTGGCAGGTATCGCACCTGCTGGTGGGTGCAGCTCCCACATGTTCCCTCGTTGGAGGCTTGAGCACAGATGTGGCTGCTATGGGGTTCCCCGTAATACTATAATGACAAAAAAAAAGGCCTGAAAGGTCGTCCTGTTCGACAGGTAATTGAATTGGTTGGGCTTTAAAGAATTAGCCTTTCATTTTTTTTGTTTATTGACTGGGTGGGAGTCACAGAAAGAGTTTTAAAATACACGTAGGGCAAAAAACAGTTTCAAATTGCACTTCGGGCAACGTATACAAGCTAGCTTTCCGGTCAGGTAGGGTTGCCTTGGGGTGTGTTATATTTGGGGAAATGCCTGAAGTGTAATTTGAAGCTGCAAAAGCCGGACATGATCACCTGTGAGTAGGATTGAAGGCTACAGGAGATTGTGAGGGACATGTCTTTGCGGATGCAAATGGAGCCAGAGGTCGAAGGGGGAGCGATTGCTCTGGCTGGTTGGATGAAGGACAAAAGTGAGGACATGCTGGCGATCATCTGGGAGTTGGAGGAGGGCCCGGATCCTCGACTTGACGTCTGCATCGATTGGAGGAGGGCAGATGGCATCATGTCAGTCTGAGAAACCCTATTCAACGAGGGTCGCGATCTGTATGCTCTTCTGGAAGACCGGTTGGAGGGGATTATTGATCGTGAGGACACGCACGAGGTAACACAGGTACCATCAAGATTAACAACAACATCAATGGATGGGTGCGACAACAACAACAGCAACAATGATAACAGCGGCGAGAACACTAACAACAGCAACAACAGTGGCGAAAACATTATCAACAAACAACAACAACAGTGATAATATCAACAGCAACGACGACGATGATGGCAGTGATGACTATGGAAGCAGCGGGGCTGACAGCTGTGTCCGGGCTGTTGCGATCATCAGCGACATGATGGGGGAGATGCCGCAAGCGGATGAAGGGGAGATTGGGATTGGAATGGAAAAGAGGTTTGTCATCTCCCCCCCCCTCAACGATAGGGACGACGACGACAACGACGATGACGACGACGACGACAACAACAACAACAACAACAACAACAACAACGACGACGACGACGACGACGACGACGACGACGACGATGGCGGCCACGACCAAGGGAGCAGCGGGGTAGGAAGTGACAGCCGGGCGGCTGAGATTATCATCACCGCGATGGGAGGGATGCTGCAAGTGGACGTGTTAGGATATGGGGTTGATACAGAGAAGTGGTTTACTGCTTCCCCCCCCTCCAACCTTCATACAGAGTTCCTCCTCGTGGTTTGGTGGAGGATAGGAGTAGGATAGCTGGGGGTGATTGATGTTGCCCGGCCTGCAATACCAATCATCAACGGGGGGCTGATCGTCTTGTTGGGTGGTGGTGGGTTAGCAGGAGGTCAATCCTTCCCTGCGCAGGGAAGTAATCAATGCCCAAACGACAGTTTCACATGATAATGCATATTGGATACTGGACTGGACGTCCAGATCATACATTTCTCATCATTGACAGAGCTTTGCTTTTTAGGCTTGATTGATAAAAGATCATATACATCATATAGTGCTTAGGGTTTCGTGATTACACTTCAATAGATATAGAATATGGACATATGTAGATAGTTCCTGCCTGTTGGACATAGTTACACAACACGATATAGGGACGCTAAACCTGTTTTCCAGCAGATACAAATCACATCTCTGTAATACACATCACATCATGGTTAGGGTTTCGTTTGATTGGGTTGATGCCTCAGTTTGTTTTGGAGACTCTATAGACTAGATGGACAGGGACGCTGGAAATGGTTTTCCGGCACATATATTCACATCATTGCGCACGAACGCTGGACCTTATTTCCAGCAGATACATTTTCATCATTGTACAGGGACGCTGGACCCGATTTCCCGCAGGTGTAGCTCCCCACCAATAGATGGAGCCTTCGACACCGGGGCCTACTTACCGGGGATGCTCTTATCACCTCGTTAAGTAGGCTTCCCGTATACGAAGTTAAAAAAAAAAAAGAAAAAAAAAAAAAGAGTAGGATTGAAGGGTGGACATAAAACCTCCCCGGGCCAAGTCCCACTACCTTCTTCCCCCGAATACAGCGTACGGTCATTATAGCTGTATTTGAGGCATCTTTCAGTCTAGATACAGCTATAATGACCGTACGTTGTATTCGGGGGAAGAAGGTAGCAAGTTTGAGTTTTCTCAATGCCTGAATGTGGACGCTTTTGTGGAGATGTGCGGTTGAGGAAACTCAACATGATTTCTGCACATCTCCACAAACACGTCCATATGCAGGCGCTGAGGAAACCCACGGTTGCCATTGGGACTTGGCCCCCGCTATAGAATAGTTCCACGTTTGTTTCCTTTTTGTCCTGGATGTATCTGACTGCGTTCCAGTCCACAGAGATGCAAATTGAGTGCTAGTGGGAGTACAATGTCACCATTGCTCCTCCCAAAAGACCGTGAATAGGGGGCCCTTTTTCTTCGTAGGGGGGATGTTTTCTCAGAGACACAAATGAAAATTGGAAGAAATGAAAAAACAACCTCCCACGTTCCTTTCATTTCTGTCCTGGATGTATATGACCGCATTTCAGTCCAGAAAGCTGCAGAGTCGTGCAGACCGAGTTATATGGGGAGTCCGCTCTCTCTGTCATTCCTCCCTAAGGGCCTCGTTCCACACCACTTACGAATACTTACATTGTAAGGGTGCCCTAACTGGGCGAGGGTGATTAATTTTACCCTAACTTCTTTTTTCATTCCACAGCCCATAAGGAAAACCCTACACTTACCCGCCATTACATCTCAGGTGGCGAGGGCGGGGTATCAGGACCTCGGCCTATCGGGCAATCCATAGGGTCCCACCCTTACATTTCAAGTCACGTCCAGGGCCTCCTTAGAGATTTTCGTCGTTTTGCCTGGGGCGCACTTATTTTTTTAGGGGTGGACCCTAAAAGCCAAAAATGTGGAAACATTCTGGAGTTTGTTTTTCTCGTCATATGGGTGTGGTGGAGCGATGATTTTGTAAGTATCCTTACATTTGTAGTGGTGTCGAAGGACCGTGACGTTTTGTCAGATATGCAAATGAAAATTGGAAAACAAAAAACGAAAAACACAATAGAATGGTGTCTGCTCTTATCAGCAGCACTAACACTGGTGGGGGTGTTTTTTCACAAAAAAATAAAATAAAAAATAAAAATAATAATAATAAAAAGCTTCTCCCAAGTTCATTTCCTTTCTGTCCTTGACGTATCTGACTGCGTTCCAGTCCAGAGAGATGTAAATTGAGTGCTGGTGTGAGTATGCTCTCACTGTCCTTCCTCCCAAAGTGCCATGAACAGGGGCCTCGTCCCACTAGCGAGGTATTCTACTTGGTCGTTGATGTTTTCGACCACGTGCGGCTGGGGTTGACAGACGCGAACCGCACATCTCACTTTGCATCTATGGGTCCGCCCGATGCACTATAGAGTGGTGCCCATGAGAAAGCACCGACCAATGAAGTGGCTGGTACTGGATTTTTTAAATTGATATTGAACATTGCTGTTGGTCTGGATTTCCAGACTTTTGGAGGGGGGGCGCTTTTTCGAGACAGTCACTTCGCGCGTTGCTGTTTACTCGTTGCCATACTACCAAAAAAAAATAAAAATTGTGGGCAGTTACTATCGTTCTGTCAGACGTGGCGGTTTTATTGCAGTCGGGACGTAGGGCCTGGCAACGTGAGAATACTGCACATGCATTTGGCCTCTTCCTCGGCACAGTTCATTCTTATTTTTTGACTCGTCCTATCGCTAGGCCCTCGCTCCACTGCTTTCGAGAAAAGTGATTGGCAAAAATTGTGTTCGTGCATTTTGTTTGATTGATTCATTAAAAAAGGAAAAAATGCTGTCACACATCGTAGGAGGTCTTGGGTTCAATCCCCATTGGCCTCATGTACCTTCCTGGGCAAGCTTGGCGCCCGCCACCTAGAGATATGCCGTTGATCCCCCCGAGTGGCATTGAGCAGAGACTGCTGATGTTCATAGGGGGAGGGGACCGGAGGGCAGGCACAGTGACTGGCCCATCCAAGAAGCTCGGTCCTGATGCTACCGGCTGACCCCTGGCCGGTATCGCCTACCTGCTGTAGTAGGTATCGCACCTGCTGGTGGGTGCAGATCCCGCATGTTCCCTCGTTGGAGGCTTGAGCACGGATGTGGCTGCTACTGGGTTCCCCGTAATACTATAATGACAATAAAAAACGCCTGAAAGGCCGTCCTGTCCAGATTTGACAGGTAATTGAATTGGTTGGGCTTAAAAAAAAAAGAATACTTCGCTAGTGGGACGAGGCCCCAGGGCGATGTTTTGCCAGATATGGAAATGGAAGTTGAAAAGAAAAAAAAGAAGACGCACACAATAGAATCCTCTCCCATGTTCATTTCCTTTTTGTCCTGGATGTATCTGACCGCGTTGCAGTCCAGAGGGATGTTAATTGAGTGCTAGTGTGAGTATGCTCTCACAGTCGTTCCTCCCAAAGGGTGTATCTGACGGCGTTCCAGTCCAGAGACATGTAAACTGAGTGCCTGTCTCTTATACACATCTAGATGTGTATAAGAGACAGGTCCAGAGGGATGTTAATTGAGTGCTAGTGTGAGTATGCTCTCACAGTCGTTCCTCCCAAAGGGCCTCTTGCAGGTTCAGTTCTCGAGTGGAGCTCAGCGGGGTTGGAGGACTGGCAGGCTGTCAGGCAGGGTGTTGTTAAATTACTTTTACTAACACATAGATAAAATGTTAGACAAATGCATCTGGGCCAGCCTCAGCCACTCTCAGTAGGGTCGTCAAGTTGGGCAAGACTATGGGGCTCGTTAGACACTCCTTGTGGCATCCTCGGGGCCGAAGGAAGTTTCCTTCGGGGTTTCGAAGGAAATTCCCGCCGTCGTTCCACCTATCCTCGGGGTGGTCTACCAAGGATGATTCCTTTTGCCCCCCGGCGACGCGGGGTAAGTAGCGTCCATGATACTGGTGATGGTGGAAACGGGCATTTGCAGTGGTGCGGTGGAGTCGACGTAGGCTCGGTTTCTTGTGAGATTCGGGCGGCGGAGCGCTACCGGGAGTGCTCCGGTAGCGCTCCGCCGCCCGATGTTTTGACGCGACGGCAGGCTCCTTGGTGAGGGTTGGAAACGAAGAGCGGTTGGGGCGCCATGACGGCAACTTCGACACGAGGACGAGAATGCCGGGTGAGAGGTCAGCAGGCGGATGATGATGCGGGAGAGGGATCATGGGGCATGGAGGAGCAGGCTAGTGGTGTCCGGGCGTTGCTGCAGGCTCTCCTGTTTGCTGTTTCTGTTATGTGTTTGCTTGCTTGAGTGGAAGAACACGGGGGCAGCGTATCTTATATCAAGGTCTCGTTGGAGAGGAGGAATGTCGCGGGGAGGAGTAAGGGGAGGCAGGCAGGGTTTCATGGGCTAGAGGAAGAGTATTACAAGAAGGAATGGGAGGAGGAACGTGGGAGTAAGGTCTTCTATAGGCGGGCGACGTCTGCGACGATGACACCCCTTCATCTCTTTGGGCTACCTGCGAGGGGCGGCTGGCAGGCTCAGCGTTTTAGTCTCGTGACGTGGTTCGGAGTGTTGTGATGGTACTCCTAGCTGCGATCCTGTTATCTTTATCGTTCGGTCCTTTGGGATGGTTGAATAGTCGACAACCACAGGCGGCCAAGTTGCTTGGGAGCCGATGAAGGAGGGAGTGAGGTTTGGAGAGAGGGGGGTGCATTTATGGATGTCGAGGGTAAGTTGTGTTCTTCCTCTTCACGTTTTGTAGCGGTGATTCTGTGATGACCTTGATGAGATTCTTAACGATGTGATTCTCA